CAAAATTAACAAAATATGTGGAACATTGTCTTTATATAAAAACAAAATTAACAAAATATGTGGAACATTGTCTTTATATAAAAACAAAATTAACAAAATATGTGGAACATTGTCTTTATATAAAAACAAAATATGTGGAACATTATCTTTATTTTAAAACAAAATATGTGGAACATTATCTTTATATAAAAACAAAATTAACAAAATATGTGGAACATTGTCTTTATATAAAAGCAAAATTAATAAAATATGTGGAACATTATCTTTATATAAAAACATAATTAACAAAATATGTGGAACATATCTTTATATAAAAACAAAATTATGAATAGTTCATGTCACAAGTGTCTGTCAAGGGAGTCTTTGAGTACTTGCAGAATTTTACCATTAGGTGAGTAATCTAAAAATATTTGTTTTTACAATTGGCTATACAAATTGCCTTTTGATTGCCAAAATATCAGTTTTGTAGGCACTGCATTGTAAGGAGGGTTTCATTTATCAATACCATCAATTCTGTAATAACAAATATGTTGTTTGAAGAGAATCACAGTGTAGTGAGTTTTGAGAACCAATGGAATAAAGTTTTCTGTTTTCAAAATGGTTACTTGAATTAAAACTTACCTACGAGTTCCATGTGTCATTAATCTTACTGGCCACTCTGATATTAGAGCTGTGTAAATAAAAAATGATTGTATTTTAAGTAACCAGAAGGTGTAATGGAGTTTGGTGATTTGCTGTTCATAGTTTATGATACTAATGTATCTATGTAATGAGATTTGTACTCATTTTTTTTTTTGATGGTACAAAACTATGTTTTTTAAAAAAGGTAATTTTGTTTGTTTGTTGTTTTGATGCTTTTAGTTCCAAACACAAGTGACTAAAGTATAGCCTGCTTGTGCTACTTCTGTAGACATACAATATTTTAGTAGTAGGTGATACTTAAAGGGTCATAATGATGTCAGAAATATCAAGATATTTTCAGACACTTGGTATAGATACTTAACAGCATTCCTATATAGAAAGTAAAGGAAACATGTACCATGGTCTTTATGCTTTCTGTGTGATGACCATTTTGTATATATGAAAATTTTTATTCTTAATTTTGACACATGCAGGGCATTTTGAATTAATTTTGCATAAATAAAACAAAATGTGAAAAAAAAATATTTTTTCTTTTCTGTTGAAATTTTATTTGTATATTAAGTAATTTCAACTTTTCTGGATAGGCATTATAAAAATGGCACTGCTCGAACAAAGATTTTGGAAATATATAAATAGTAGAGATGGCTGATATGGTTATTAAAATGTTTTTATTTAAAACACAAAACAAGTAACAACATTTCGACCTGATGATGACCTAAGGAGGTCGAAATGTTACTTGTTTTGCGTTTCAAATAAAAAATGTTAATACCCATATCAGCCATCTCTAGTATTTATATATTTACTTGAAGTGGTTTCCTTGTCATCATGAAAGATTGTGGAAACTTTTATTTACACTACAAGAGCTCATGCTTTGACCATTTTTTTCATTTGGCTTCACCTATGCAGATAAGTTGTACTAAGGGAAGCATTATGTTTTTTGTGAATATATGTTTCTGATTAGGGGTATGATCAGATCAGAAATAGTATGATTATCTAGAGCAGTGTTTCCTAAACTGTTTTACGTGGAACTCTGGGGTTCTCTACAGTATATCCAGGGGTTCTGCGAGAAACTTTTGTGTAGTGTAGTCGGAGTAAAAGAGCAGGCCAGGTATTAACTCACAAAATAGACTAATTAATACTGCCTACACTAAACAGTTTTTCGATACCCGCGATGAGCAGAACTCAGATAACCCAATGTACTTTTAAATTTTTATGTTTTTTTTTATATACTGTGACTGTAAGTCAGCTAAAACTGAAAAATATACAGTCTTTAATTTTTATGTTTTAGATAAAACTGAGAAAAATATTGTATTTTTTAAAAAAAGTGAAATAACTTTTGGTGTTGTATTCTTCAAACAAAAAGAAGAAAAAAACGTTCTGAAAGCGAATTTACGATGATTTTTTGAGCAAAACTTTCACCAGATGGTAGCATGATCTTCGCCTCCTTGCTGACGAGAATCAACGTAAGATATAATATTTCTATATATCGAGACCTCGATAAAAGACAACGGTACTTTTGATAACAAAACAAGTGAAAAAATTGATTTATCATATTCACGTGACAACTAACTGATAAAGTTTTCAATAAATCTTTGATTAAGAGCTCTCTTCTAATTTTTTTTATCAGTTTCGTTTTGTTATCAAGGTAAGTGTTATTCTTCTAAATAAAAATGTTGGCTTGTTTTACTGCAATGATCTTTATTCTATAAAACGGCAAGAAGCTTTCAAGAGCTCAAATTAGCGTAATCCTTGTTCTTAAGGATGTTTTAATTTACTTATCAATAGAATTAAGGCTGTTAAAGTACGCTAATCGTTTTACGTAAATTCACTTGTAATTAAGTTTTATGATACCATCCTGAGTTTTCGATATCAGATAGCTCCCGAGCCTCAAAATGTAACTTACTAAAAAACTCAGCTCCATAGGAAGAATTTTTGTAATTCCGTGGTTGCCTTTTCTTTGTGTTCCTTTATTTCCAAGATACATTCTGATGATAAGCAAAGTTAAGTGGAATTTGTTAACAACACTAAACACATAATAATAGAAAGCTTTGTCGTCAATTCATCTAAAACTTGATACAAACAAACTCTTCTTCAACCAACTTAGGAACAGATGTTGGAGAGGATGTTTGTATTTTGTCAGTCAGATGATGATTTGTTTGTTTGAAGTTAAGCACAAAGTTACACAATGGGTTATATGTGCTGTGCCCATCACGGATATCGAAACGATTTTTAGCATTATAAGACTTCAGACTTACCACTAGGGGCCCATGATGATGAATTATCGCTCCAAGAGATTATCCAAGTTATTAACTGACAGAGTATTTTTTTTTTAGAAAAACAACCTACTTGAGAAATATGATATGTATTTTCTCTTTCTTTTTGTCTTCATGTCTGTAGCCCCATTGGCACAGAGGTATGTATGCGGACTTGCAACGCCAAAAACCGGGTTTTGATACCCGTAGTGGGTAAAGCACAGATTTGCCATTATATGGCTTTGTGCTTAACTTTAAACAAATAATTTCTGTAATGTGAAAATATTTTTTTAAGTAGAAACAAAACTATTATTAGCATAAACCAGTTAATCATATTTGTTTGTTTATTTGAAGTTAAACACAGAGATACACAATGGGCTATCTGTGCTCTGCCTATCACGGATTAATCATATTAATTCAAAATAATATCTGTACATTTTCTAGATGTTTCACATTGTAATTCCCATCACCCTGGTAACATCTGTTGTTGCTGCATCATTTCACACAGATCTGGACCAACAGTGGACAAATTTTAAAGTATGTATAGATGCAATGTTATTCAAAACCGCATCTTTGATATGTGCTTAAATTTATAAATGAATTATTATTAGTATGACATTAATATTAATAATAATAACATCAAAACTTAAATCAAAGATTTTATATAGGAGCTTTTTTGATATTGATAGAAAATAAGGGGGCACTTTAAAGTATTACTAGGATAAGTTATTATTAATAAGAACTACTAAGTGGAGGAAAATATAATAAAAAAATCATCAACCACAGCACCGACCAGGTTTTTCGGCCAATACCTAGCTTTTCATAATTGATGTAGTTTTGGAAACGAAGAGCAAAAAAATAAAAATTAATAAACAAATCGAAAGTGACTGTAAATTCAAGGATAGAATATAAGCGGAATAATACCACCAAAGTAAAAACAAAAGAAAAACATTTTTATTAGGCGTCATTTGGAGTAATTGCTCTTTGTCAAGCCTTGTTTAAGCCTTTCCAGTTTACAACAGGTAAGTTTAAGTACTTACTGTCCCCCGATGGGTCAGCAGTAAGGTTACGAATTTACGACGTTAAATTCCAGGGTTTATTTCGCCGCGTTGGACATAACGCTGTTAACCCATTGTGTAACTTTGCACTAAAACACTAACAGTTAAGTACTTACTTGTTGTACCGATAGGCTTAAACAAAATTTGACAAATAGCGGTTGATCGAAACGTCACCCAATAATGATTAGTTTTTTCATTTTCCTTTGGTGATGTTAGTCTGCTTATTTTAGCATGCTTGAAATAGCTATCCCTGTATTTATATATACATAAGTATAGGAACAATATACAATTATTTTATAACAAAATACGTGCATAAAGAGAAATAGCTTTGTATCAATCTAGCGACGAGACTTGTTTCTAAAGTAGGAAAATATAACAACATATCAGCAGTGTAAATAGTACTTGTATTTGCATTGCAACAAACTTGTGTTAAAGAACAGTGCAACTGCATACCAACAAGGTTTATACCTGAGTGTACACAACACTTATGTTCATGCAGGAATAGGGACTGTCTCTGAAGTGAGAACACCACATAACTATGTATCAATATAGTGGACATTTCAGTAGCAACAAAGCCAGTGGCATAACTACAAAAAGATGCCCCTCTCGCATAAAAAGCAAAAAGCCCCCTACATTTATTCTCCTTGTCGGCAATTCTTAAGTGTGTCAGTTTTTTTTAGCTCCCTTTTGGCTGACCTCCCCCCCACGTAACTGAGGAGGCATACTTATGCCACTGTTTAAAACTTGCATTCACATAAATTTTTCCATAAAATGAAAAACTTTTATATTTTCATTTGGTTATCTTTAATTTTAACAAATGTAACTGAACAAAAGCTTCATTTTTATTCTTTATTTAATTTTATTGTTTTTTGTTTGCCATCAAATTTCAAAAACACTACATTTCCCTCTCGAATAAATCAATCTGTGTAATATATACCAACAGTTGAGATACAAATAAATCAAGCTATGTAATATATACCAACAGTTGAGACACATAAATAAATCAGGCTGTGTAATATATATCAACAGTTGAGACACAAATAAATCAAGCTGTGTAATATATACCAGCAGTTGAGATACAAATAAATCAAGCTGAGTAATATATACCAACAGTTGAGACACAAATAAAGCATGCTATGTAATATATACCAACAGTTGAGACACAAATAAATCATGCTGTGTAATATATACCAACAGTTGAGATACAAATAAATCAATCTGTGTAATATATACCAACAGTTGAGACACAAATAAATCAAGATGTGTAATATATACCAACAGTTGAGACACAAATAAATCAAGCTGTGTAATATATATCAACAGTTGAGACACATAAATAAATCGTGCTGTGTAATATATACCAACAGTTGAGACACACAAAGACGAAAAGCTCTTTTACTTCTCAATGATTTAAAAAAATTTTTTACCCTTATTTTTTGAAAGATTAAAATATCAGTTGTAAATTAACCTCATATATATATATATAACAAGTTTAAAATCTACTTGAAATTCTAAATGCTCAATTTAACAGAAAGAAAAAAACTATTTTGTATCACAATGTACAAATTATTTTTTATTTTAACATACAGAGTGTTTACAAAAAACAGTACGATGTAAAAGAAGAGGGCGTACGACGCCTCGTCTTCGAAGAGAACGTGGCTCGTATTGCAAAACACAATCTTGAGGCAGATCTCGGAATCCAGGCTTACCAACTGGGACTAAATATCTATGCTGATCTGGTAAAATCACTGAACATCATTGAAGACAGTTACTGGTTCTTCGAATTTTTTTTTTTCATATTTACATTAGAACATTTGCGCGAAAAGCAATTTAAAAAATCTTAAATACGGTCATCAATAAAATTATGGGTTATTTATTCAAATAAATACTTTTATAGTATATATTTACGCAAAAAAGGCATTTATAGTTTACGAGAAACTAAGAGGAAGCTAGTCAAAAGAAAATACTTCCAAGAGAATTTTATTTTATTTTCATTGTAAAAAAAAATATATGCTCCAAGTGAGTTTTTTTTTTCACTGTAAAACATATAAACTAAGTCAGTACTAAAAACTGAATAAAATCAAAGAAATGTACGAAGGTTATCTTGTTTTAACACTGGGCAACATTTAACCATTATATTCATAATCTTCTTTTGAAATGTAGCAAACAATATTTTGTCATTTGTTATTATTGCTTAATTCCATTTTAATGTATGTATTTTTGGCATTAAATAAATCCAAGTTTTTCAGTGTTAAATAAATAAACAGATTACTCCAAGTAGCATAAAACGAAATTGTGTTATTCACGAAAACAGAGGATTTTCTTATTTTGCAATATTCTAGACTAGTGAGGAGTTTGTGAAGCAAATCGTCGGATTCAGGAGGTTCAACCAAACCAGGAAGATCAAGGATGCCTTCATTTCTCCCCGAAACGTCATGATTCCTGATGAGGTCGACTGGAGAGACAAAAAAGTGGTGACTGAAGTTAAGGACCAGGTACTAAAATTATCTTACTTTATATTCCAGTATCATTATAACCAGTCTTGTTTGTTACCGAAAATCTGGATTTTAAAGGACCCCTGGTGATCACGCGAATGCTTTATCCAGTAACATCACTAATTTTCCCTAATTTTTTGAGAAACATACTTGAAAAGTTTCTTGAGTCCAGATAAGAACAGAACACTGTTGTCATATCAGTGCACAAAAATCAAAGTAGTATTTTCAAGCACAGATTTAAAAATGGCCAAATTCGCAGGAATTACTTAATGTCATTTTAATACGTTAATCTATGAATGTTATTTCACCACATTTCATTAGGCTTTTTTTTTTGTTCTTTTAATGCTGATGTAGATGTTGCAATGGTTTGTTGTGAATGTTAATAACTTCTGCCATCCTTATATGAAATAATACCTCGCATTTGATATAACATACTATGGATATAGGCCTAAATTGATTTTGTAAATACTTGTTCCATTACATTCCTTTACTATTGTTTTATTATGATGTGTATCATTTAATGCCAACCTCTGTACTCTGTACAAAGTATATAATATAGATCTAATATACGCATTGTTTGTTTGGTTGTACTTAAGCACAAAGTTACACAAAGGGCTATTTGTGCTCTACCTACCACGGGTATCTAAACCAGGTTTCTAGTGTTGTAAGTCTGCAGATATACCGCTGTACCACTGGGGGTCTAATATATGTAGTAAAAGGAAATAAACTGCAGCTTAACAAGATGTAAAACAGGGGTTCTCGAACTTTTTCAGTTTGGGACTTTTTTTCTGAACAAATGTATTCCGTAAACTTAAAACACTCAATCGGAAAACATAGAATACTAAAAAGAAGCCTGGGGCCAAGCGTCGCTTAGCGCTTAACATGTCCGGATTGCGAATTTAAGAATTTGTGGTTTGCGTCCTGTTGTCACAGAAAAAGACCCTGTACTTTGGTGCAGTCGGTACGCTATAAAAATGACGATCAAATCACACTGTTTGACTATACAGTGCTGGGTGTGTTTGCTGGTTAGTTGCTTCCGGTATAGCCTATCAGCTCAAAATTAGGGATGCCTATGAACATTCGCAAGTAGCCCCTGTGTAGCTTTGCGCGAAAATCTTAAACGAACTAAAAACGAGAGAAAGAAAGAAAAAAGAAGGAAATGTCTTCCCTATAGCACAACAAATTAGCGAAAAAACTGAGAAGTTAATGTATATTTGAATATTTTCGTGTTAACATAGCGAAAAAAAAACAAAAAAAACGAATACATTTGTTACATCTTTTCAACTCCTTCGTGATCCTATTTTGAGCTTCCCGCGACTGAAAGCATCTGCTCTAAGGATATCAAGTACATACGGTTCGTTTTATACAGCCAAATATTATACTTGTTCGAAGTTACTGTATAGAAAAAGAAGAAGAAAAATAAAATACTCACATAATAAGTTTTAGCACGAGGAAGTGAGTTTTCTTTAAAGTTACTGCTTTAATATCAAATGTTAGAATCGTGTAGAACTGTAAGTTAAGGTTAATTATCAGGCAAACAAAAACTTCCCTCGGTCACTAGGTGTCTTCATGTTCCCCTGACTTGGTTACATACGTTGTTTGATTGAATGGTTATTGTTAAATGTAAAGCTAACATAATGGGTTATCTTTGGCGGTGCACATCGCGGAGAATCGAACCACAGATCTTAGCGTTATACGTTCTTAAGGTTACTGTTATTTACTGTTCTTAAGTTATTTACCCTCGCCATTAATATATATGACAATATTAGCAATGCTAACCCAGGTGATAACAACTTACCTCCTTGTCTTTCTTTTCTTTTTTACATCAAAATCTTAGCAAACCTGGAAAATAAAGTTGGATAACTATTGTTAGCTATTTACTACGTTGTATATAAAAATCCACATGTGCATCCTTACAGACAAAAACTATTACATGAAAGAAAAGGCGCCGCAGGAAATTATTCGGCAGGGCAAATGCCCCCGCGGACTGCCTACTGGTTTCATCCCACCTGCTTTCGCTTGCCACCGCCAAAACAAAACAACAACAAAAAAACTTATCAGAATTAATGGAAAGAGTGACTTCGGCCGTGGCGTTACGCGTCATTGACTTGCATTTTGGACCACCTGGAGGACCCTCCAGACCACCGATAGTCTGCAGACCACACTTTGAGAACCACTGATCTAAGAATAACCGATAATTAATTTTGGATAACGAGTTTCTTCCACCTGTAGTTGTTTGCAGACGACGTTTCGAACTACCAACTTGTAGATTTATCAGTCCATTGCTACCGAATACACACATACACAATGATTTTTTTAACGATAATTATTTAATAAGAATTCAGACAATGTTTTTTTTCATTTAAGTACAATATCAATTGCACATTCTTCCTTTTTACTGACAGGGATCCGAATATTACAGCTGGACTTTCTCTGTTACTGGATCAGTCGAGGGACAACATGCACTGAAGACCGGAAAGTTAGTCTCCTTGAGTGAGGAACATTTACAGGACTGCTGCCCAAACTGTATGTATCTGTAGGAAGTCACACATGAGTTCTATATTATAAGTATAAAAATCCAGTACATGGTAAACACTAAACACGGATGAAGGTTGACTATTTGGTAGATTTATAAACCAGTACATGATAAACACTAAACACATGTGAAAGGCGACTGTTTTAGTAGATGTATAAGCCAGTAATTGGATAAAATATTCTTTATTAAATTTGATTTAAGACTCTTTTTACCTTATGTCTGTTTTTGATGTTAAAGGAATTCTAGGACTTTTCTCCAACGAAAGGAGTAGTTAGATTTGTTTTTAGCTTTCGGCACCACTGCTAGAGCCTTCCACACGTACTATCTGTTATATATTGAGGTTACTGTCTGTTGAAGTTACTGCAACTGACCCAAAAGCCCTTTTTCTCAAAACAACAACAAAAAAAGAATTAACTTTTTTTTTTCGTGGAGAAAAATTGTTTTAGAACTCTTTAATGTTAATTATTATTTAATATTAAACAATATCAATCGACAGTAGTATAAAACATTCTTAATTAATAGTAAATAATGAGTTGTAAAGAATGCATAAACTTGTCAGTAAAACATTTTAAAGGACTTTAATCAGAAATACAACTCATCCATGATTAAATAATTACCACAAGGGATCGCGAAAAAAAAATCAAATGGATTTCAAAACACACATAACGTTTCCGAATAGTTGACTAATCTTCTTCCTGCGGGATCGAAACCCGGTTTTAAGCGTTATACGTTTTCAGACTTTCCGCTTAGCCACTGGAGAGGGGGGGGGATATTTGATGGTTAAAGTACAATAGAACTGAAAATCCATCAAACTAAGTGTAGTTTATTTATGTTGCAGGAAGAAGTTTGATATTTTGGAAATACGAGAGCAAATGAATATTATTTCTACTAAAAAATAAAAGACGCGAGACAATTTTCTTGAAAACCCTTATCAAGGCCTAGAAGCTGCAGATCATCATATGATATAGTTTTATGTCAACGAAATAATGATTGTTACCTGTCCTTTCTATAAACTTTCTATTGTAGCAGATTTATTTATTTGAAAGGTTATAAATGAACTTAGGATTGCGTTTTCTTAAAAAGAGAGAACAAACATTGAGTGTCGTAAACATATTTATAAATTTGTTTGTTTTTTTTTGCTCATTCTCTAGGCACCATTTTCTATGACGAAAGTCTAATTGATTGTGGATTCCAATGCATCATCGATAACAAGGGGATTGACAGGGAAGGCTGCTTTATGGTAAGTTTGAAAAACTTGTTCTTTCCGATCATTTTCATTCGTTTGTATGATACTCTTAAAAGAAACCCATACTCATGGTTGCCCAAATGCTATTTGTTCCTGAAACTACCCTCTCTTTAAGAAATATTAGCTGACGCACCTATTCAACGCACGGGGAAAGCATAAGAGCTCCTGGGGGTGACATAAAAGGGTCAGATTTAAAAGTTAATCTTTTTTGTAACTCCTCAGGGTTCCTAACACACATACAGGCAGACTTTTGTCAAACAATAGTTTAAATTTTATGAACTGTATTAATAATACCAAATATTCTGTATACAAAACTACGTCTCTTGGAGTAATTGGTTCTGGGGTTGCAGGATGATTCTTGTATTTATCAAAATCCCCCCCCCCCCAAAATAAATCCAGATTTGTAACTAAAACTTAATTAAGTTACTTCTTAGTGAATGAAACATTTATATTTGTTGATTGCATTTTTTTTCAAATGCTCTGCCATACACAAATAAACAAACGTGGTTTAATTATAAAAATGAATTATACAAACCAGGCCAGATGGTTAGGGAGCTCGACTCGCATACGCGAGTTCGAATCCCAGTCCCACCAAACATGCTCGTCCTTTCAGCCGTGGGGG